ACAGTCGTTCATACAATTCCTTTGCATTTTCATCGTCATTTTCTTTAATACAAAATGAATGTTTCCAAATTTAATTGTATAGACAAACGCCATATTTTCCTTTAACAACAAAACGAATTTGGAACTATTTTCAGTGCATTTTCCATCACATTGATTGTTGTCATTTTATAATTTTTAATTAAAATGACAATTTTGATTTTTGGGGGGTATTTCCAGTTTTTTAAGTTTGTTGATTATGTTCACATCAAATGCACTTTCTTTTGACAAAGACACAATTAATAATTTCAAATATTACTTTTTGTTAATTTTAATGTTACACAGAAAGGAAAACTTGTTAATTATCTTTTTGAAATTTTTAAAGTGTTTGTTGTCTTATTAGTTGAATTGTTAAATATTTTTTATTCATTGTATTTATTTGAAAGTGAATATTTGTCGAAATAGAAATATTGATACAAGTCCTTGAACGATAAATGAGAAACAACACCATCAGCGTAATTTACTTGTGTCACTTTTTTAAAAACCACATTGGCTTAAAATTTACAGGTCTACTGTTTGATGGTATTTTTCAAAAAGAATTAAGTTATAAAATTTAACAAATAATTTATAAACAATCATTTCTGTTTAGATGTTTTAAATGACATTAAAGTGTTCTTCCCGTTTCATGTATTAATTTCTTTGTTCTTTATTTTATTATTTACATGTTCTGTATTTTGCTAAATTAATTACAGTGAAACCTTTTAAGAGCAGTAACTTTGAAGAGAGGGCTCTTTTAGAATAAAACCAAAAATCGAGTTTTATAAAGCAGTTTTAAGGTTTGATTGGCCAAAAAATCACTTTCTTAAGAAACCAAATATATTATTATTTCACTCTTATTAAATTTGACTGTAACGATGAAAATTTGTATTTATATATGTAGTATTGATATTAACATTATTATTAAACATAAAAAAGTGACATTTCACTTATTTTAAAATGAGCTGACAACAAGACATATAACAGTTAAGAACTCAGCCAAGACACTATACGAACTGTCTTGTTTATTAATTCCGATAGTTTCATAAGGTATTTCCTCCCAACAATTATATTTGTAAATTTCCCCCTCTTTTCTCATTCTAAAATCGTTGTTATCAACATCATAAAACATTGGATCTTGACTCGAGTTAGTGTTCATCTCCCATCTTTTCATATACTTATTACATTGTTCGGTAAATGCATGATCCCATGTGTTATTATATAATACATTACAGTATATCTCAGTGTTCTCCATATACAGCCAATGTAAATTTTCTTCTTTCATCAACTCTTCTGACGTTTTTGGTAACAGCGCCCATTCGGGAAATTGGTCTTTCCACGGAGAAGTATATCTATCGACTCCATTGTTCACCATCGTATCCAGTAAATTATAAAACACATTTGGAGTCGTGTGATACCTTCTTGGTCCTCTAGAATCTCCCGAATACCCTGTCTTACAATTATAGAATATGTTATTATAAATAATGTTGGACCTCCCAGAGCCCTGCACAAGACCATAACCAACAAAATTAGAAACGACGTTTTGGTAGACTCTTTGCTTCGAAAGGTTGTCGTCTAAGTAAATTCCAATGACATAAGACCATCCGCCCGGTTGCCCAAATCCCGTTGAGTCGTGGAAATAGTTGCGCTTGATGACATTACCAGAATATTCCCAATGAGTACCAGAATACAATGCACCACAATCAGAAGCTCGGGTACATATGTTTTTAGCTTCATTGTATGAGATCTCTAAATACGCGCCATTATGTCCATATCCCAAATGGGGATTGTTTTCCACGTAATTATGCTTCATGTAATTACCAACAATGCCAATAGAAAACGCTGGGACAAAAGTAAATGATACTTGTGACGTCGTGTTGGCATAGTTATGAGTTAGATAGCACTCTCCTCGATATAATGTAGTGAAGTTTCCTTATTGTTATTTAAACTATAATTTATAATAATATTAGTTTCTTATTAAAATAGTTTAAATTTATTATATAAACATATATTACAATTATAGTTATATATTAATTATTGAATTATAAGAGTTTGTAATTATAAAACTAGCACTTTTTAGTTTAAAAACTATAGTTTTTATCCAATAGTACTTTATATTAATATATATAATAATATTAATATAAAGTAATATAATATTAATTATATTATAATATATATTATTATAATATAATAACAAAATTTATTATAATTATTAATAAATAACAATATAATTATTTTTTTTAATTATTTTAATTTGTAAAATTACTGTTTAAATGTTTTTATTCAATTTATAGTAATCAATTAAAAATTTTTCTTTTTAATAATAGACTTGTAATAATACAATGAAAAACAAACCGCATCTCATAGCAACAGCCTCAGCTCCGATATCATAAAACATGTTATTTGTTATAGTTGAATAATTTCCCGAGAAATAAATAGCTTTCAACCCCGAGTGTCTAAAAGTGCAATTTTTGATGAGTATATTTGTTGCTGTAAATGCGTTTATCATGTCTTTTCGTGTATATTCAAATATGATATTTTGGATTGTCAAATTATTAAAAGTGTCCACATTTATTAACAAAGACGTGCTTTGTGAGATCCACACTTTACTGACAGTAGTCGGCAAGTAGATATACAATTTCTTTTCTTTATAATCAATATAGTACTCACCCTCTTCATCCAATTCTTCTACCAAGTTATATATATAGAATGGCATTCCACTAGTCATCCCTTCATAATCTCCACCACCCAAAGCTCTATCAATAGTTACTGTTCTTTTGTTCTTATCAATTTTACCTTTGACTGCTTGGTCCTGTGAAAAGATGAGCCAATACCCTCTCATCCACACAGAGTCATATTTTGCATATTCATCCAATTTATCGTTCGCATAATAAAATGTTTTCCCCATCTTTTCTGGTGCATACGCAGTCCACATATTTCCTCTGTAAATGTAATTTGGCTGTTGAAGCACAGGACTCCCCTTTGCGCCAGACTCTTCAACAGCTTTGACTTCTCCAGCCATCACAGTTCGCTTGACTGTGAAATAAGCCCCGTCACTTTGTGTCGGGACACCACAATCAAATCGTGTTGATAGTGTCCAGTAATTGGAATCGTTTTTATAGAGATAATAGTACTTTCCATTCACACTCTGTTCACTCTTAAAAGTCGTTTCATTGCCACAAAGAACTTCTTTTCTTGGAATGTAATATCCAGTCACATTTGGTGTGAGTTGAACTGAAGTGTCTGTTGGTGGTAATATGAATATTCTCTCAGTTTGATGTGATGTGTCTGTGTACTCATAATTTGGGTACCGAGCCACACGGAACCGCTTGTCGTCGACATAAATTTCGGCATTCGAATTTGCTTCAAAAATTCCTAAGTCGATTCGGTTATACAACTTATCCAAATCACACACTTTAATGTACTTCCTTTTTGAAGTCTGAATTTTTTCGTATTGTGCTTTATCGGTTTCCGAGTTCAGTGAACGAAATGAAGATATCGGAATTTTGACTCCACCTGTAATAATAGGTGGGTCTTCATTGGGGTATTTGGTCAAGGTGATTGGGCGGGGTATTGTACTGTTTTTAAATGACCATTTTGTGAATTTAAGTGAATTGTTAATAAGTGGATAATACCCCGATTTTATATAAACAGTCACTGGCTCAATAATTTCACTTGATGTCATTGATGACATCGCTTTTTCAAGAGATTCGAAAGGATAAATTTTAGAGTCTCCGGGATTTTGGTCACTACCCATTGTGTTGTCTACGTATATATCTCTTGAACATGTTACTGTTATCAATAAGACAAGTAGTACACTTTTTAATTTCATGATATCTTGTGACATTCTTGGTTATGATATGGTATTTTTGAGTCTAAATCATATTTTTAATGAAAGTTTCGTTACAATAATTTTAAAAGTCGAATTAATATCGACACGATTTTA